ACACCCCCAGCCCTATTTTGCATTTTATTTAGAGACAGGGTCTCACTGAATTGCTTAGCACCTCACCATTGCTGAGGCTGGTTTTTGAACTCGTAATCCTCCTGCCTCAGCCTCCCAAGCCACTGGGGCATCCAGTATCTATTATGAATATAGATGCAAAAATCCTTAATAAAGCCAGGTGTGGTGGCACATACTTGTAATCCCAGGGACTCTGGAGGCTGCAGCAGGAAGATCACAAGTTCAAGGCCAGCCTCCTTCACTTAGCAAGGCCCTAAGCAACTTGGTGAAACCCTGTTTCAAAATTTTAAAAAGGCCTGGGGATGTGGCTCAGTGGTAAAGCACCACTGGGTCAGATCCCAGTATCTCTCTCTCACACTCACACAAAGTCCTTAATGAAGTATTAATAAATTAAGTCCAGTAACAAAAGAGAATCATATACCATAACAAAGTAGGATTTATTGCAGGTATGTAGGATTGATTTAGCATTCAAAAACAAATTAATGCACCAAGTGTAACTGTCTCAGCCAGGAGAATCCCAAGTTTCAGGCCTGCCTCAAAATTTAAAAAAAAAAAAAAAAAAAAAAATTAAGTATTAGGGATGTAATTCAGTGCTAAAGCGCCTCTGGGTTCAATCCCCAGTACTAAAGAATAAATAAACAAATTAATGTAATAGCCACATCACCATGGTATGTGCAGTAAAATTAATTAACAAAATCCAATATTCATTCTCAACAATTTAGAAATAGAAGGAATTTCCTCAGTCTAGTAAAGAACAAAGTTACTACAACTTAACATCATACTTAATGGCAAAAGGAGCCAAGTTCTTCCTACCTAAGTGGAGGAACAAAGCAAGGATTCTTTTCTTCTGTCCTTCCCCTCCCTTCCCTTCCTTCCCCTCCCAGCCTCCCCACTCACTCGTTCGTTCCTTCCTTTCTCTCTCTCTCTCTCTCTCTCTCTCTCTCTCTCTCTCCCCCAGGGATTGACCCAGGGATGCTTAACAACTGAGCTATATTCTAGCCCTTTTATATTTTAGCTAGAGACAGGGTCTCACCAAGTTACTTGGGGCCTCACCAAGTTGCTGAGGCTGGTTTTGAATTCATCATCCTCCTGCCTCAGCCTCCTGAACCACTGGGCTTACATCACCATGCCTGGTCAAAGTAAGGATTTCTGTTTGTACCACTTCTATTCAACATTGTACAGGAAGGAGATTTTAGCTATTCCAGTAAAGAAGGGAGAAAGAAAAGAATGGAAAAGAAGATATCTCATTGGAAATAAGGAAGTAATTATCTTCCTTACCTGAAGATGATATACTTTTGTGTATTGCAAATTCTAAAACATATGCAAAAATATGACTAGAACTAATCAATTCAATAAAGTTGAAGGATATTAAATAAATGCATAAAAGTCAATTGTATTTTATATACTAGAAATGAAAAACTGGAGCCAGGTGTGGTGGTATATAACGGAATCCTAGCAAGTCAGGAGCAGGAGGCAGAGGCAAGAGGATTGCAAGTTTGAGGCCAGCCTCAGCAATTTAGCCACACCCTGTCTCAAAACAAACAAACAAAAAAATTAAAAGAGGAGAAATGAACAATTGGACAATGAATTTAAAAATATAATTTCATTCACAATGTCATGAAAAATATTAAAGAAAGACTTAGGAATTAATTTATTTTGAAAAGTGTAAGATGTGTACGTTGAAATTTACAAAAATGTTGCTGCACCAAATTAAAGATCTAAATAAATAGAGACATGTTCTATGTTCCTTGATTAAAAAATTTACTATTTTTGAGATGAAGTTTCTCTCCAAATGAATCTATAGATTTAATACTAATAAAAATCCAGGTAGTATGTTTTGTGGAAATGGAGATGATGATTTAAAGTTTTTATGAAAATTCTAAGATCCCAGAAATAAAATTTTCAAATTTGAAGAGAAAGTTGGAAGACTTATACTAATAGATTTCAAAATTCACTATGCAAAGATAATAGTCAGTACAGTGCAGTAATGGCATAAGCAATCACAAACCCAAAATAATAATAATAATTATTATTCTCCTCCTCCTCCTCCTCCTCCTCCTCCTTTTTTTGTACTGAGCTTCATCCCCAGCCCTTTTTATTTTTTATTTTGAGACAGGGTCTCATTAAGTTACTTAGGGCCTTTCTAAGTTGCTGTGGTTGACCTTGAACTTGTGATCCTCCTGCCTCAGCCTCCTGAGTTACTGGCCCAAAATTATTTTAAAATTAAAAATAAGTATGTTCCCTAAAGGGAATCTTCTTAGAGGCTGGGGAAGTAGGAATTGAACCCAAGTCTGAATGATTCTAAATTTGCAAACACTATTAGAAAAGAGACTCTGTCCTCTACCTCCAGCCCCTGTCTACTCCTCCAATGCTGTAATTCAATTTGACTTGGGGGGGGGATGTGTCCTAGGAATGGGGTGATTTCTAGATATTTTAATCTGATTTTCAGATATTTATGAAAGAAAGTTGTGTTTCAGTTAAAACAGTTTCTAGGAAAGAAATGAATGAAACCACTGATTTTCTCTCCTCCTTTTTTAGATCTCCTTGGAAGACACTGAAGGCGTTGACTTAGCATCCTCCCAGTTTTCTGCAAACACCCACAGTCTGGCAGGTGGCCTGTCAACCGTAAGCAGTTCTCTAGCACACACAGAAATTTTCTTCTTTCTCTTGTTAATTTTCTGTGCATTTCCAAAGAAGAAGTGAATGTTCTTGAGAAAATGTGTGAGACTGAATTAAAAATCATTGTAGATTCCTACTTATCCTTTGCCCACAGAGTACTATTTAGTCTAACTTTATGAGGGCTTTATCTAAGGCTCCTGGTTCCTTCCATGTTTCTTGCCCAGGCTTTAAAATCTCTTAATTCTTAGCCTTTTTAAAAAAAAATATTTATTTTTTAGTTTTAGGTGAACACAATATCTTTATTTTACATTTATGTGGTGCTGAGGATCGAACCCAGTGCCTTGTGCGTGCATGCTAGGTGAGCACTTTACCACTGAGCCACAACCCCAGCCCCTAATTCTTATTCTTTTATGTTGGCACATACATATAATCCAAGTTGCTTTAGAAGCTGAGGCAGGAGAATCTCAAGTTAGAGGCCAGCCTCAGTAACTTAGCAAGACCCTGTCTCAAAATAAAAGATAAAAAGGGATGGGGATGTAGCTCAGTGGTAAAGTGACCCTGGGCTCAATCCCTAATACCAAAACAATAAAAAAAATTCAAAAAATTCTCTTCATTCCCATTTTATAAAGTGCCTGAAGAGAAGAGTTGAAGGTTCCCAACACAAAGAAATAATGCGTTTAAGGAGATGGAAATGTAATTACCCTTATTTGATCGTTATACATCATGTGCATGTATTGAATTTTCAAACACTACCCCATAAATTTGTACAATTTTGTGTGGAGTTTTAAAATTATCTCTCCATTTTCTAGTTTAGGCCCAATTAACTCAAGCCTATAAATGATTTTAGTTCTCTGCTGGCAAATTTCCATGACACCATTCTCTCCACTCCCCAACTGTCCTCCACACCACTGTCAGTCAATTTGCAAAACATACCACTCACGCAGTGGTACATGCGTGTAATCCCAGCGGGTAGGGAAGCTAAGGCAGGAGGATGGTGAGTTCAAAGCCAGCCTCAGCAAAAGCAAGGCGCTAAGCAACTCAGTGAGACCCTATCTCTAAATAAAATATAAAATAGGGCTGGGGATGGGCTCAGTGGTCGAGTGTCCCTGAGTTCAATTCCTGGTACCAAAAAAAAAAAAAAAAAAACCCATATACCACTCAGATGTGTCTAGTGCAGCTTCCCACTGCCTACAGAATCAAGCCCATTCTTTAGTGTTCAAAGTGTTCCTTGAGAGGAAGGTTTTAGGAGCCCCTGTGTCTTTTTTTATTCTTTTAATCTGTGTGCCTGTAAGTCTTTTTCTTTGCTTCTCTGACTTCTATTGCTCTAATCCCCCTTTTCTTTGGATCATTGGCTGTCTTAAAGAATGCTCAAGCAGGCTCTGACAGGAAGTGGACCTACCTAAATGTACCTGATGCTGATTCAGACACTGTAAGTTTTCAACCTTTCTTTTTCCTTCTTTCCAACTGTACTTCACAAATTCCATGATTCGGGAAACATGATTTGGTGGGCAATTCTTCCAGCATATATCTTTTTCTGATTTGTGTCCCATTAACCAGAGATTCTCTTTTGTAAAGATGAATGAGGTTAGGAGAACTCAAGTATTCCAACTAATTCAACATTAGAATCTGGGTGCTAGTCAAAAGACACCATGCAAACCTCCAAGCCAGATTGGTGGTGCATGCATGTATACTAGTGACTAAGGAGGCTGAGGCAGGAGAATCACACATTCGAGGCCAGCCTGGACAATTTACTGAGGACCTAAGCAACTTAGCAAGACCCTGTCTCAAAATAAAAATAAGAAAGCCTGGGAGCCAGGCTCTGTGTCACATGCCTGTAATCCCAGCGGATTGGGAAGCTGAGACAGGAAGATCATGAGTTTGAATCCAGCCTCAGCAATTTAGCGAGGCCCTAAGCAACTCAGTGAGACCCTGTCTCTAAATAAAATGCAAAGCAGGGCTGGGGATGTGGCTCAGTGGTCAAGTGCCCCTGAGTTCAATCTCCGGTACCAAAAAAAAAAAAAAGAAGGGCTAGGGATGTAGCTCAGTGGTAGCATACTCCTAGGTTGAACCCCCAGTATCATAAAAAAAAAAAAAAGACACAATCTATAATGACTCATCATTAACAAGATCTTTGGAGTGAACATCTTTATAGTCACAGCTAGGGCTTGCTTAAGAGCATCAAGTTTGGCTAGGAGTAAAATTGCCATACTACCTTAAATTCTCCCAAACCTCAGCATTTGTGGGTTCTTAGATTTTCTTCTATACCATGGGAATCCCCTGCTTTCAGAGACTCCTCTTTGACCATGTGGCTACAGAGGGATGTGAAGACACAAGTCATACAAGGAGATAGTGAGATGTGGTAGGAGGGCCTCCAACTAGAAACCTAACCTCTCTGAATGTTTTGACACTGCCAACAATTTTTGTGATCCAGATGTGTGGGGATTAAGGCTTGATTGAATTGATATGAGAGAATTGAGGCTTTTTTTTTTTTTTTTTTTTTGGTGGTGCTGTTGCTGAAAGCTCGAGCTTGGTCCTTGTCCCCAAAGTCAATCCAATTAAGAGGACATGGTTTTGAGAAAAAGGAAAAAGAAGTTTTATTGCTTTGCTAGCAAATGAGAGGCACAGAGGACTCCCAGGTCATGGTTTTGCCCTTTAGGGAAAACAGCTAGCTTTTTCTTAATGTGGTATTGGGAATTGAACACAGGGCCTACATGCGTGCAGAGCAAGCACTCTACCGACTGAGCTATACCCCTAGCCCTAGCACAGCCCTTTTAAAGAAGCTATTTAAAGGCTGCATTCCAGGTATATCCTGATAGTTTGATGAAATTCACTTGTTAATTTGACATCGCCTTCTCCTGAAGGACTGATATCTCAAGGTAATCTTGTTCCCCGTCCCCAGGTTAGGGAGGGGGAGAAGGAGAAGTGGAAAATAAAAACACATCCTATTTAAAATAAGCAGCAAGGGCTATATTCAAAAGGTGATGTGATCACTGTTACAGTGCTGGGGATGGAACCTAGAGCCTTGTGTACGCTAGGCACAGCACTCTACCACTGAACCACATCCCCAGCCTCTTGAGGCTTATTCTTGAAGCCCTTGCTACTCAAAGCCTGGTCCGTGGACCAGTTTATATAAACTGGGATAGACTCCAAAACCTTTTCAGTTCACAAAGCCTGTAAGAGTCTGGATAATTCTTTTATGGCTCTCCTAGACCAAAAGCAACAACTGACTAGTCAATTTATTAAGTCATTAGATCTAAACAATTTAATAATCACTTGGGCACTAACAATAACCGTTTGGCAAAATAATATCTTGGCTCCATTCTTAAGTAGCTGCAATTACTTACTGATTAGGACATATGTGTCTGCTGAGCCTCACATGGTTTCTCAAATCTTGGAATCTGATTAGACATCATCACTTTCATTTCCCGTTCCACATTTTTATGAAATATTTGCTTTGTGTTGCAGAAACTGCCAAAAGTTCAACTTCACGTAGCCATTGAAAAAAAGTATTATGATTTAACGGTGACACTGGAAACTACTAGTTAGTATTGTAAAGTTCTGGCGATACATCGGAGAGGGCGGGGGGCTTTGCATACATCAGAACAAATCATCATGAGGCGCGGGAAAATTGAACAACAACCCTGAGTCAGGATTAGTGTATACATTGGCGGGAACAATCAGGGCAGGAGTGATTGGTGCTCCTAGGTGGGGTACACATTCAAACTGATTGGTTTGGACCCTGAATATCTACGTGACAAACTGCACAGGGTCTTGAATGCTTACGTGAGGAGTTGCACAGGACCCCAGTCCATAAATCACTAAATGGCCAGCAGGGCCTTGTCCTAACTGCCTCAGGAATTTAACCCATGCTTTGCAGTTTTAGAAGCAGGTTTACAAGCCTGGTCCTTTACACTTTAACTCAGGCTCTGCGGCTTAGAATCAGCTTGGAAATTTTACCTTTACAGTATATTGTGTGGTGTCTGATAGATGATGCTGTGTTTTCTTTAAAATATTTTCTGATGCTCCTGTGAACTTGCTGTTGTGTTCTAGGGTACTTATTGTTTGGGAACTTTGGATCTAGGTGTTTGTTGGAAAAGCATTATCTCAGACCCCCACCCAGACTGCATCATTAGTCAAAATCTTCATTTTTAAAAGATCCTCAGGTGCCAGAACAGTGGCACATGCCTGTAATTCCAGCAGCTCCAGAGGCTGAGGCAGTAGGATTGCAAGTTCAAGGTCAACCTCTGAAATTTAGCATGGCCCTAAACAACTTAGCCAGACCCTGTCTAAAAATGTTTTTTAAAAAATAAAATAAAAGGAACTGGAGGGTGTTACTCAGTAGTTAAGAACCCCGGGGTTCAATCTCAGTCCAAAAAAAAAAGGGGCTGGGGATGTGGCTCAAGCGGTAGCGCGCTCGCCTGGCATGTGTGCGGCCCAGGGTTCGATCCTCAGCACCACATACAAACAAAGATGTTCATACAAACAAAGATGTTGTGCCCGCCGAGAAATAACAAATAAATATTTAAAAAAAAAAAAGTCCCCAGGTGATTTATATCAATGAAAGTTTGAAAAGCACTGCTGAAAGTCACCTACTATGCATGTACATTTTGTCGCTTTGTTTTAGGAATGAGAAAGACAAATTTGGTTACTCTCTCTCTCTCTCTCTTTAAGCTGTAGTTTCCAAATAATTTCAGAATTCCTGATTTGCTTTTGCCCTTGTCTTAAGCTTAGAAGAGAGACAGGAGCATTGTCACAAACATACTATTGTTTGAATAGCTCTACTCTAAGCGATTGAAGGAACACAATGACTTTTGTAACAGTCTCTCTCTCTCTCTCTCTCTCTCTCTCTCTCTCTCACACACACACACACACACACACACACACATACATGTAGAAAACCTAAACTCTCTTTGCATTTACCATAGTCTTCAGTGGTTTGAAGAAGAGGGTTTATGAAAACTACTGGATCATTCCATCATTCATGAAAGCCTTCTATGGTATTCATGCATGTTACTGGTCTATGTGAAAGTCTTGTTAATGGTACTGGCAGCCAAGCCAAGGAATCTACTAGATAGATTGCAGCTGGTGAGATTTCAGTTGCCCACCAGCATGAGAAAAAAGCAAAGGACCCCAAAGGAGAAAACAAATTTAGTGTCTTTAGCTAAAACTGGAGAGAAGCAGCTGCACGGTTTCTTTCTCTGCAGGTCCTATAGAAGCAGTTACAGTTTAACAAAACAAAAGCCAGGAAATATACACATGTAAATTTAGCTGGCTTGTGTTAGCCAGAAAACAAGTCACTGTTTGGGCTTCACTGGCATCTGGGGGGTGGGGGACCCCAGGTGGGGTGGGGTGGGGATTTCTCAATTTCCATTCTCAGCAGGAGGAAGTTTGGAAGCTAAAACAATTAAGATCTTTTCATTCCGAAAGGGTCTTCATTTCATTACAAAGATATAGTTTTTGCTTCTAGCACTAAAGGATAATTTTGTTGCATGTAATTAAAAATAGGCCTCATGTCATTAGTGTCAAAAGCCTCGTTTATTCTGGAAGATTTGGACCTTTGGGGAATTTTTTATTTTATTATTTGGTAGGGCTATGATTTTATTGGTTAGTGTTATAGTTTGTGGATTGCTATTTTACGGAGAATTACAAAGCCACTTCCTACATAGCCACAGAGTAACTTGAGGAATCAAAGCAGATATCAGTGCATGAGCTCCTGCCCTTGCTAAAGCTAAAGTTCCTGCCCTGGCTCCCAGAAACTGAATGCATGCTCCTTGTTGAATGTCAGAGAAAGAAGTTTTGCTAGCACTGCGTATGAGATGAGCTTTTCTTTGTCCTGCTCAGTGTATTCCAGACTTTGAAGCACATTGAACTTGAGTCTGCCAGTAAAAATGCAGAAAGTTGCAGCGATGTAGAGGGGAGGGGGCATTCACAATTCCTCGTGAATAAGCAAAAGGTCTAGCTAACTGGGGAAAAGCAATGCTTCCCCTCTGAGCAAGTTTCCTGCCTTCCTTATGTATGGTACAAGATCTGTTGCCTATCTTGCTCTGGGATTTTCTCCACCAGCAAAACAACTGCTGGCTTTCTTCCCTCACCGCCCGCCCCCCTTCTCTGTTCCTTGTAAAGAACAGGAATGGTAATCCATGAAGGGGGTGGATTCTGTGAAGAGATTCTTACAATAACACCAGGTGCCTTCTTTCCTTTTATTTTTTCCAGACCAGCCTTAACAGCATGATGAGTGTTTACAGTGAAACAGGAGACTATGGCAACGTGAAGGTCAGTGGCGAGATCCTTCTGCACATCAGCTACTGCTACAAAACTGGCGGGCTCTACATTTATGTCAAGAATTGCAGAAATCTGGCCATAGGAGATGAAAAGAAACAGAGGACAGATGCGTAAGCACATAGCATGTTCCTCAGACCATGCCAAGTACCACCTACTTTGTGTGTATGTGTGTTTCTGTTTCCAAAGAGCCTAAGTGTTCCTCTGGATTCAGAGCATGCTCAGAGACCTTCCTCCCATACATGCTTCTAAATGTTGTCTGAAGTACACATATAATGGTCACATCCTTGGTTACCTCATTTTTTTGGGGAGGAGGTACTGAGGATTGAACCCAGGGGTGCCTAACCACTGAACCACATCCCCAGCCCTTTTA